AATGAACGATTACTCAAGAGACAAATAAAGATTTTTAAAATTTTTAAAATGTGTTTTAAAAGGGAAGAATAGCACTTTCAGATGCAATATTGATCTTTTGAAAAAAAATTATCTCTTGATGTTGCATGACCTCAAATACAGTTAAAAAACGGGGTTTTTTTGCACATTAAGGTTAGAATATCTCGAAAACCTGACGTGTAGGTTTAATTCTGAAACCGGATTCGGATTCAACACGTCGAAAACCTTCGGAAAAGTGTTGTCTGATTCTTGGAAAGTAAATTGAATCAAATTTTGTTGGCCTGTGTAATTAATAGGGGAGTGTTCCCGGTTGTACAGCAAGTTTCGTTTTTTATTCATAACTTTTAATTGGATCATCCAATTTTGATTGTTTAGGTTTCATTTTAAAGCTAGTGTAAATACCTAACTTTTGCTCAAGGAACTTGATTTTTTTTATTTTAAAACAGAAGAATTATGAAAGAATTTCAAAAGGTAGTGTTTTTGGACCAAATAAAATTTGACCTCGGTTGTGTAGCACTTCCAAAAATAACTTAAAAATTTAAAATATGAAGAAATACAAATATAAAAGTCAATTTTTATATTATTTAATAATATTTTTTAAAAGCTTTTAACATTTACAGATTTTACAAATATTTATACTTATTATACTTTATAAGTGTTTAACATTATATAAAGCTTTAAAGGCACATAAAATTGGATATGAAATTCTCTATGTTGATGTTATTTTAATTATTTGATTATTACTTTAATATCCGTAAAATTCAATGAGGTGCATTTTAAATTACTTAAAAATAAAAATAAAGTCGATATTTCATCATAAAACTACAAAAAAAAAAAAAAAAAATTTGTTGGGTGCTGCATAATCGGGTCTGGGACAATTTTGCAAATGACCTCATAATTTTTTTCGATTCAATTATTTTACAAAAATTCCTTCTGCATCATAAAGTAAAGGACTAAAATTGAGTTTCTACATGTTGTCAATATTTTTCAAGCTCGTTAGTTTTGCTTGATAAACAAGTAAAAAAATCAGTTTGTTACAAAGCGGGAAAAATCATTACAGCGTTTTTTACACATAGTGCTCACAAAAGTTGACATAAGTTTCATATCAATAGATAAAGAAACATGAACAAAATGACAAGAGCTGCAGAACCGGAGCTGGGGAAGCATGAATATTCCCCAAATTAGACTTGCCGGAATTTTTGTGGTGTCGAATTAAAAATTATCGTATTTATATTTAGTAGAATTTTAAAAAGGTAGATTTTATAATGAGCCCAATTTTAATACCGAAAAATTTCTATTTAACAAAATTTTGATTTTGTAGAATTTTTATTTAACTAAACTTTGATAAAGCCGGTTTTTTTAACACATCGAATTTTCAAACAACACAATTTTCATTTAACAAAATTTATATCTAAAAAAATTTTTCAAAGAACAGAATTTTTTTATCAAAATTGTTCTTTTGTTGAATTTCTATTTATCCGAATATTTACTTATAAAAGTATTTTTATTAACAGAATTTCAGTTAAAAGACTTTCTATAAAAAAAATTCTTATTTAAAAAAACTTTAATTGAATTATCCTTAAATTATCCTTAATTATCCTTAAATATCTATTTGATTTAATTTTCATTTAATAGAATTGTCATTTAACAGAAATTCTACTTAGTTAAATTTTTAAGACAGAGATTTTCTATTTCACCGATATTTCATTTGACAGAAGTTTTACTTATCAGAATTTACATTCGATAGAATTTTTAAAATGTCGAATTTCCATTTTATCGAACTTTCACATATCCCATTATACACTTGGCAGACACATATTTCAGCGGGAGTTTTAAAATTAACCAATCACAATTTTCTTGATAATTTTTGCATGTTGATTTTAAAATTCCCGCTGAAATGTTTCTGCTAGGTGTATGATCTGATATATGAAAGTTCGATAAAATGGAAATTCGACGTTTTATACAATTCCAGAGATGGGTAAGTATCATACTTCATGTATGTTACCTAAGTTTGCTACGTATGTTACATGTGTATACAACTTGTTCAGTTTGCTACACAACGTTTGTTACATTTTATGACGTAGGCACTCGTAATGGTCAAAAGCAAATATAACCTCAATCTAGTTGGTTCCCGCTATGTGTTTAGTTTTTGAATATTTGTTTGATTCGTTTGATTATTGCTTTGTGGACATTCTTTTTAAAAATGAATCGAGGTCAACATTTTATTATAAATTTTTTTAAAATAGAATTACTAAGAGTTTTTCTGGTAGGCGGCGAGTAATTCGGATTTAAAGTTTTGACAAACTTTTTAAAAAAATTGGATTCGACAACCGCGAATGGAATAATAAATCCAAAAAAGAACATCCCTAGTTGAAGATCATTTTCTGCTAAATTCAATATCTTCGAAATTTCATCCGCTTCTTCCTGCTGTTTCTAAAAATCAAAAAGATCTTTATTTAATTTTTCAGAAGAGTAAAGAGTAAAGACATATAAAAACACTTATTAACTTAATAAAAATTATTAAACTGAAGTGCAATAAATTATTATTTAAAGAATATTTCATCTCTTTATATTTATCAGTAGATCTATTTATCTGAGTTGCCTGAGATATTATAATTTATCTGTTATTATGATGATGACTGATGAGGCGAGTTGACATCCGAAAAGTGAGGTTATATTTATAATATGGTTTGCGACGTTTGCGACAATTTGTTACGTTTACTACACATTTTAGGTATCATACGTAGCAAACCTTGAGTTTGCGACATTTACCCATCCCTGTACAATTCTATCTAATGAAAATTTGGATAAGTGAAAATTCGATCAAATAAAGTATCGGTGAAATAGAAAATCTCTGTCTTAAAAATTTAGCTAAGTAGAATTTCTATTAAATGACTATTCTATTAAATAAAAATTAAATCAAATAAAAATTTAATTCAATTAAAGTTTTGTTAAATAGGATTTTTTTTTATATAGAAAGTCTTTTAACTGAAATTCTGTTAATAAAAATACTTTTAAGTAAATATTCGGATAAATGGAAATTCGACAAAAGAACAATTTTGATAAATAAAAATTCTTTTTTTATGAAAATTTTTCTAGAAAAAAATTTTGTTAATTGGAAATTGTGTTATTTAAAAATTCGATGTATTAGAAAATTTGCTCTATCAAAGTTCAGTTCAATAAAAATTCTACAAAATCAGAATTTTGTTAAATAGAAATTTTTCGATATTAAAATTAGACTCATTGTCAAATCTACTTTTGTAAAATTCTACTAAATGTAAATTCATTAATTTTTTATTCGACACCACAAAAATTTCGGCAAGTCTAATTTGGGGAATATTCATGCGTCCCACAGTGAGAAAAAAATGACCCTCTGTGGACAAAAATCTACCGACAACACAAATCTTAACTGATTTTAATATTTATTTTTTCTAAATACTCGGAGACGTTTTTCCTGTAACGCACAACTGCGATAACTTTGATTTATTTCAAACTAACCTTAAAAATGATACCTATATATGAAATTACGTTATTAGGATGGTTTAAAAAATGGAAAAATGATTAATTTTGATACAGCAGAGTATTGTGATGCAATATGGCAGGCAATGTTTTATAAAAGTCACCAAATTCACTCGAAAGTTGTTATTCAGGGGTTTTTAAAGTCGCTGGTTACGAATCTGAAGTCAAATTTCAAAAATTCAAAATGGCGGATCCAATATGGCGGATAAGAAAATCAAAAACTAATTGGATTTGCTTGAAAGTTGTTACACGGGGGTTTTTTGGGTCGCTGATTACGAATCCGATGTCACATTTCCAAAATTCAAAATGGTGGATCCAATATGGCGACCAAAAAAAATTTGAAATTCACTAGATTTGCTTAAAACTTGTTACTCGGGGGTTTTCGGGGTCGCTGATGACGAATCTGATGTTAAATTGTCAAAATTCAAAATAGCGGATATAAAATAAAAAATTAATAACTTTTTAAAAATTTGATCGCCATATTGGATCCGCCATTTTGAATTTTTGAAATTTGACTTCAGATTCGTAATCAGCGACCCTAAAAACCTCCAAGTAACAACTTTCATGCAAATTCAATGAGTTTTTAATTTTTTAATCCGCCATATTGGATCCGCAATTTTGAATTTTTGAAATCAGACTTCAGATTCGTAACCAGCGACCTTAAAAACCCCTGAATAACAACTTTCGAGTGAATTTGGTGACTTTTATAAAACATTGCCTGCCATATTGCACCCGCCATTTTGAATTTTAAAATTTTGCAATTTTAATGTCAAATTCGCATTCAGTGATCAAAAAGGGTTCACAATACTCTCTGCTATATCAAAATTAATCATTTTTTTATTTTTTAAACCATCCTAATAACGTAATTTTATATATAGGTCTCATTTTTAAGGTTAGTTTGAAATAAATCAAATTTATCGCAGTTGTGCGTTACAGGAAAAACCTCTCCGAGTATTTAAAAAAAAAAAATATTAAAATCGGTTAAGATTTGTGTTGTCGGTAGATTTTTGTCCACAGAGGGTCATTTTTTTCCCACTGTGCGTCCCCCGGAGCTGCTACATAACAGGGGATTCTTCTCTATAATATAATAATTAATATAATAATAATAATATGTTCTCTGTGAGAGTGACTATTATCATAAACCGTAAACGCTAATCCGAAATAGTCGGAGCTTAAAAAAATATTTATCATAAGACGCAGAATTTACAGCTTTACAATAAAGTTTGAAAATTTTCTTATAGTTTGAATTGTCATAGTTAAAAGGCAGATGTGTTCTTTAACAGTATTTTATACTGTTTTTTTAACACTTACCAACATTAGTGTATATAATTTTTATTCATAAAATATAATATAAAATGATTTAATTTTTTCATATTGGCATTATAATGTGAAAACTAAAAGAATGCGGAAAAATATTTAAGGGACACTCTAGTGGAGTTTATTTGAGTATAGCGACATCTTACCTTCTAAAATCAATATAGTGGGTTCAAAGGGCATAGGATTTCCAGAGCAGTTTGTCTCACTAGTGGATTCTAAGTGATAAAATTTATGTGTTGAATTACTTTCCTCGGTTGAGCTGTCTGAAGAATTAAGAACATCAGTTGTTGTTTGCAAGTCAATTTTTTCAGTGAATGATTGAACTGAATATTTGTCGGTCATTAATGTAGTTGAAGAGCTTTGCCATAAAGAATCATCATCATCATCATTAATATCCATACAGGGACAAGAACACTCACATTCACCACCAGCCCAAATTGGCGGTGCTAAAGTTTGTATTTCAGATGGTGAGGTCAATGTAATTTCATCATGATCAATTAAATTTTTATTTCTTAATTGTTCTGATTGATGATGGCTATTATTAATATTTGATGTTAAATTGTTAGTGTCATCTGCTGTTGGCATAGAAAGGGAAAAACTAAACATAGACTTTGAAGGAGATCCTTTATCTTCAATATTGATAGCTAAATTTACAAGCATCTTGGAAGATGAAGAAAGAGTCATATTAGGAAAAAATAGATTAATTTGATTATTTATTGAAGTGTTAGGTGAAGTAAAATTAGTTGGAAGTTCATTTTTAGAAATATTTTTCTTTAATTCAATTTCTTTTTCCATTGAATCTTCAAATGTTGATTTATTTTTTAAATTATAGAAAAATTTTTTATTGTCATTTTTTATTGTTGGTGTAATTTCTCCATCGTTTTGGATTATAGTTTTTATAGTTGTTTCCTCTTGTAGTTTTATAATTTCTATTTCTTCTGCTTCATATAATGGTCGTGGCAAATCTTGTTGTAGTAATTTGTATCCTTTAGTGAAATTTTTAGAACTATTTGAAAAAGAGTTCATTGTTTCTGCCTCTTTCCACAATTCAAAAGACAATTCGGAATTTATTAAATTGAGTCGATTTTCAAATTCTGCAGTAGAGTTTAATGCATTAGCGATAAATGAATTTTTATTCAAAAAATTTATTATATCTTTTGCAATAGAATTAGCTAATGAGGAATGTGAGGAAAAAGTTTTCACATAGAAATCATTTCGGAGGGCATTTCCTTCATTATTGATGTCTTCTCTCTTAGGATCCTTATTTTTATTGTCTTCTAAGTCGAGCATTTTCTTGGTGAACATGTCTTTCATTAATGCTGTCGCCTCTAAATCATCTTTCAATTCTGGTGATTTTGTGGAAGCAACAGTAACTAATTCTACAGACGACAAAGTTTTGTGATGTTGCAAACTATTTAATGGGAGATTAAACGTGGTGGAAGGTGAAGGTGAGCTTAAAAAATTATTGTAACTAGAATCAGTAAAAGTGTTGCTTAAAATATTTGGAAAAACAATTGATCTTCTTGATAATTTATTTGTTGATTTAAATTTTGTTTTCTTCATTGAATTATGATGAATTTCATTAATTTTATTAACTTTAGTAAATCGTCCCGCATTATCATGCACAACCTTATCCAAATAATCTTCATGCAAATCATTTAGCTGTTCCAATTGAACGTATGGTTTTCCAAAATTGACCTTAGACTCAGATGGAACAACTGCTTGGTGTGAGTCATGCTGGTTAAAAGTGTCTCTACGCTTACGAAGAATGATAGGGTCTACAAGATTACCATTAAAGGAACTCATACCTCCGGAGGTCGAAGACTGCTGCTTCGTTTTACTTAACGATGTCGATGAAGTTGATGTAGTTTTATTCGTTTCTGAGGACATCGATTTTGATTCTGAATTATCACCTACCAAGACGGTGCACGCCTTTGTACCTTGATAGGACCAATTTACTATGTTTGAAGCTGAAAATAAAAAAAAAAATTTAATTTAATAAAAATTCCAACATAAATTCTTTAAATTACAATTGTCATCTTGAACAATTAATGTGTAACTTTAGCTTATAATATGTTTTTACTGACAATAATATTATTATATCTTATTAAATATTGTAAACAGACCTGCTACATATGTAAGTGCCGCCGTAAGACAAAGGGAAACCATTATGACAACTATTGCAATTAGCTTCCAACTGCACCATTTTATTCCTTTTCGAAACTGACATCGTAGACTTTGCCTCCGTTGCATAGGTATCATTGATGGAGCATGAACGTAACCTGGTAAAGATACCCTAAAAACATTTATTGATTTTAATTTCATTGCATAAATATCATTATTTTCAATAATAATTAAATTTATTTACTTAAAATCTTTTAGCATTTCTATTAAAATATGAATTAGTAGACATTTTTCACTAATTCGATAAGAAAATTTCTGATGATTCAGATATTTTTTACAAGTTACCAATCTAAATTGTGAATATTTACTTGTAGTGAAAAAAAGGAATTAGAATTTAAAAAAAATTCAATTAAAGAAACCCTAATTATAATAAAAATCCCTATTTAAAATCCCTGTACAAGATCTTGTACAGGGATTTTCAATAGGGATTAATATGTTCTAATGTTTTGCAATATTTTTTAAACCAAATGGTGACATCTAAAGGTAGTAGTATAGTTATAAAAGAATAATAGAACTTTCCATTTAAGACAGGAAATTGGAGTTACACCATGACATAAGGCTCGATTCACAATGTTTCGAGCAACTTTATATGAAAATGTCAAAAAATTTGTTTGAAAAACTGAAAAAATGTATTCTAGAACCCAAATAAATCTTTAAAAAGGTGGCGAAAAACACAATCTGCGAATTAATTAAAATTTCATGAAATTTTCACGTTTTGAGGTGTCCTGAATCGAAAAATCATGGGCCCGGCAAAAGTGTATGTATGTATGTATGTCTGTCTGTAGACACAAAATGTTGTTGACAATAACTTTTGTAAATCGAAGCGAATCGACTTGCAACTTTGCACACACAAAGTTAGTGTCGAAATACAGGTCAACTTGGTTTGCCAGTCATTTTCATCAAAAAATGCAAAAACTGCAGGATTTTCAAGATTTTTAAATTTAAATTTTTTTCGCTACATAGCTTTATAGTTCAGGAGAAAGCAAGCAACTTTTTTCTGTAAAATTTTTTAATTAAAATGAAATTGTAAAAGTTACAGTGGTTTAAATGTCAAAAACTATCAAAAAACGCCAAAAAAAGACATTTTTCAATAAAAATTAAATTTTATTAAGGGGGTGTAAAAATCAGTCCATAAAATTGACACATTCTCATCACAATAGATTCAGAAAATATGATACAAGTAAAGAAAATAGCAATTTGGCAAAACACCACTGTATATATGGGACGTTCCACCTCAACGACGACAGGCTTCTGCCCAAAAATGGTTTTGACGGATTTCAATGTTCTAGGACTTAAAATATTTGTAAATTCCTATACTTTCGAATGCCGAGTGACGTTTTTCAAAATTTTAAATGGCAACTCCAATATGGTGCATAAATGGCAGTAAGTTCGAAAATTTTAAAATAAATTCGTGAATTAAACGACCAAAAGAATTCCATTGAATCTAAAATACCTCATATAACAGTTTTCGGGGTCGCTGAATACAAATATGATGTTGGTTTTCCAAAATTCAAAATGGCGGTCAAAATTTTAGAAATCGATCACAATGGCTTGAAACTTATTTCTCGGAGGTTTTTTAGGTCGCTTATTATGCATTTGAAGTTATTGTTAAAAAATAAGCATAAGTAAAATAAATTCCAACATGGTGGATCCAAAATGTCGGACAAAATTTTTTAAAAACTACGATAATTAATTGAATCTTTATACTGGGGGTTTTCCTGGCCGCTGATTACGAATTAAAAGTTGTTTTTTAGAAAAAAGCAAAAATAAAATAAATTCCAAAATGGCGGATCCAAATTGTCAGACAAAAAATTTTAAAAACGCTCGAAATTGATTGAAACTTTATTCTAGTAGGTTTTCCTGGTCTCTGATAACGAATTTGAAGTTGTCTTTTAGAAAAAAACAAAAATAAAATGAATTCCAAAATGGTGGACAAAATTTTCAAAATCGATCAAGATGGCTTAAAACTTTTTTCTCGGGTGTTTTTTGGGTCGCTAATTATAAATTTGAAGTTATTTTTAAAAAATAAGAAAATAAAATGAATTTTAAAATGTCGGATCCAAAATGGCGGACAAAATTTTTTTAAAGCGACGGTAATTCATTGAAACTCTATTCTGGGGGTTTTCCTGGTCGCTGATTACAAATTTGAAGTTGTTTTTTAGAAAAAAGCAAAAATAAGTTTCAAGCCATTGTGATCTATTTCTAAAATTTTGACCGACTTTTGGAATCCGCCATTTTGAATTTTGGAAAACTAACATCATATTTGTATTCAGCGACCTCGAAAACTGTTATATGAGGTGTTTTAGATTCAATGGAATTCTTTTGGACGTTTAATTCACGAATTTATTTTTAAATTTTCGAACTTACTGCCATTTATGCGCCATATTGGAGTCGCCATTTAGAATTTTGAAAAACGCCACTCGGCATTCTAAAGTATAAGAATTTACGAATTTTTTTAAGTCCTAGAACATTGAAATCCGTCAAAACCATTTTTTGGGCAGAAGCCTGTCCTTGTTGACGTGGAACGTCTCTATACATATTATTTATATTTTGTACATTCTCATCATATGAGAGGGTATTATAATTGGTCGAAAATTGACTTTTGCTAATTCCATGAAATCTTCACGTTTTGAGATGCTCTAAGTCGGAAAATCACTTGTGACCGTTGTAGATCCATGGTCAATAAATAATAAAATTTTGATTCTCTCACTTGGTAGTATTTAATAATATAAGAAGATGATATCGATCATTCCGAGTCAAGGATTAAATAAAAACTTCTTATATTATATCAAATAATAATTCGAACAAATGAAAATTCATCTGAAACAATTAAATGAAAATTCTACCCAATAAAAAATTCTTTAAAATACTTATTATGTTAAATGAAAATTCGAGGAAATAAAAATTCTGACAAATAAAAATTCTCTGAAGTGAATTTTCGGTTATATAAAAATTATTTAATATAGAAAATCGTTTTGATGAAAATTCTACAAAATACTAATTCAAACAAATAAAAATTCAGCTCAAAAATAATTATGACAAATGAAATTCCATAAAATGAAAAAACCAACTAATGATTTTTAGAATATAATCATGCGTCCCAATTATGTTGACATAAAATTCCAAATGGAGGTTGAATAAAAATAATGACGGTAATAATGAAAATAAAATTATTGAAAAGATGCATATTGACAGTGAAAAATTAATTAGTCAATCATTTATAGTTTGTGTGCGAACTAAAGACAAAGATCGATTTTTCATTACTTTAGACAATAAGATATATCTGATAGTAAAACTACCTATTAAGGCATTTAAATTTAAACGTATTTCAGAAATTGAATTATTTAGTTCAAAGTGTTTTGCCTCGATATTCTAATATTACAGAAATAATTAATATACATTTATTTGATATTAAAATAATAAACAGACTCAATGGTCCTTACAGTACTATTAATATAAAATCATTAAAACGATATAAGTATTAGACAACGCCAAGGTGCTATAAAAATAGTTTCAGAAGTCTTTAAAAAAATCAATGTTGGTAGACATAATATACTGTTTCCTTCTCTATAGATTTCATTAATAATTGAATTTTAACCATAATTAGTTCTACCAACTGGAATATAAAATAAAATTTAATTTAAAACTTCGGTGACATTTAGTGCGCCAAAAAAAAAACATTCCCGATTTAAAAGTGGTGGTCAGATTAAGGATCCGTAAATAATTCTGTAGGAAAAAATAATAAATTATACAAGAAAACTTATTTAAGACGCAATATTTTTAAAGGGTTATATCTAGTTGTCATGCAAGAAAAACAATGATTTTTTTCAATTTTTTTTTTCATTAAAATAATTTTTTTCTAAATAAAGAAACATTTTTTTCAAAAGTTTATAGGGATAAATCTATGACACCGAAGAATTTAACATTATACCTATGAAAAAAGTTTTAATTATAGATTCATAGATTTTATTTCTAAATATATATGTGTTCGAAATATATTCAGGAATAATAGACTTTCAAATAAAAAGTGTCGAATTCAAAATGGCGTCCCTAATGTGACAATTTTTTCAAATTTTTTTTGCTGTCTCAGCAAACGAGTGTATTAATTATCTTGAGAAAATCATTGTAATTAGTTTGGGGTCGCTGATTACGAATCAGAAGTCAGATTTTGAAAAATCAAAATGGCGGATCCAATGTGGCGGAAATATTTTTTAAAAATTTAATAGATTCGCTTGAAATTTGTTACTTGGGGGTTTTTAAGGTCGCTGATTACGAATCTAAAGTCCGATTTTAAAAATCTTAAATATCGCGAATCTCATATGACAACCAAATTATTCTAAAATTGATATGATTTGTTTAAAACTTTTTTATTTGGGTTTTTGATATTTTTCTAATACAATCTATTTATTTGGTCGTCATAGATTAGCTATTTATGATTTTTAAAATTTTTACTTTATATTTGAAATCAGTGATCCCCAAAACCCCCGAGTAACAAGTTTGAAACAAATGCATTGAATTTTTAAAAATATATCCGTCATATTAGATCCGACATTTTTGATATATGGAAATTTGACTTTATATTCGTAATCAGCGACCCTAAAAAATTCCCGAGTAACAAGTTTGAAGCGAATTCGTCAAATTTTTTATTTTGTCTTCCGCCATGTTGGATCTGCCATTTTGAATTTTGAAAATTTTTTAATTCTAACTTTAGATTTTTTATCAACGACGTGAAAATTCCCATAAATATAAAAATTGTTTTTATAATAAAAGAAAAGTTTTTTAAAAGAGATACCTTTAAATAAATATATATTAAATAACTGAAATTATTTGGGGCAGCTATTCTTAAAAAATCTTCTATTTTATTATCCATTTTAGAAGTTTACAAAATTAAAAAAATTTTCTGACCTGCGACATTTCACTGTCATTTCTTATATAAAATTTACTCCTGAATCAAAATATGAAGTCAGATATTAATTAATTTGTAAAATAACAATAAATAACAAAAAAAAAATCATTAAAAAATTGGTAAAAAATATTTTTTTTAAACCAAAGATCAAAGAAGTAATTTTGTGACAATTTTGGTAATACTGTTGCATTATTAGACAATGTAGGAACATTTAGAAGTATTATTATCCGTTTATATTCTTATAACTAGATTATTGGACACAATTTGTTAGTCCATTGAAAAATATTGTGCAATAAAAAAGTCTCTCTTTTTTCGTCAATATATTTTAGCAAAAATTGGAGTTAAATGGATTTTTAAAAACGGATTAGAAAGATTATTTAATTTTGCATATACAATTAGAATTAATACAAAGAGTTTTAATAAATAGTGACGAAAAATTAGTGCGAGTGAGAAACAGCTATCACATATACTCTAGAATAGATTTAAAAAAAAAACCTAAATATTTTATTTTATCGTATATCAAATAAATAGTAATTATTTGTATATCAAATATGAATTACTTAAATCAAATAAATATTGCTTTAAATCAATTATGCGAAAATTATTTCATTCGATACTGCATGATTTTTAATTCAAATAAATATTTATTTGCATGAATAAAATATTTTTTTTGAAATAACTAAAAATTTTCTTCAACCAAATATATTCAATTATTTGACATGTGTAATTTGTTTTAATTGAAACTAAAACCTCTTTAATTGCGACAAATAGTACTTTATTTGATTCAAGTACACAATTTATTTACATAAAAACAAAAAATTTTTTTCATCCAAATAAATCAAAATTTGACTTAAATAAAAAATTGTTTAATTCAAGTTGTTCATTCAATAATAAAGAAAAAATATTAATTATTATATTTATTGCTTTAATAATTATTAAAATAAATCATCGTTGTAATTACATTTCTTTTTAATATTACAGCAAAAGTAAAAAAGGTTTTAGAAATATTTATTTTTCATAATTTTCACATATAAATAAACTATTTATTTAATCCAAATATTTTTTTTATTTGTTTAATAAAATAATTTATTAGCATTAAATACTGCGTTATTTGTATTAAATAATTTAGTTTACTTGAATCAATAAAATTAATTTATTGTATCAAATAATTTTTGTTTGTATTCAAAAATTAAATATTTGAGCGAAATAAATAAATGAATACTTTCAAGTAACTCATTATTTTCTTTTCAATTAAACTTTTAATTGATCGAAATATTCTTTACTTGTTTTTATAAAATAAAATATTAGTATTAAATAATACATTATTCGTATTAAATACTTTAGTTTATTTAAATCCATAAAATAAAATTATTGTGTTGAATAATTTTCATTTCTATCAAAAATTAAATATTTGGGTGAAATAAATAAATAGAATTGTTTTAAATAATTTATTATTTGTGTTAAATAAATTCATTTATTAGATTCAGTTAATTATTTACTTGAACCAAATAAGATTTATTTAGTTCAAATAAGTATGATTCAAATAATTTAAATTATTTCAAATAAATACATATTTTTAAGATCCATATAAGAAATATTTGAAACAAGTAAATATTTTCCAAATAATTGGAATTACTTGAATCAAATAATTTTTTTCTAGTTTATGTATTATAAACTAAAATACATGAAAAATTCTTACCTGTCCATGTTATTTTGAAGCTCAACCTTTATTGGACTATTGCCAGTCGATTGATTTTTATTGTACTCATTTTTTGGTATATCTGAAAATGAAAAAAGTTCATAATTATTATTTTGTGATACTTTTGCAAAAAAAAATGAATCTTTTTCTATTTTTAAAACATTTGGCTTATATTCTGCAAACAAACATTTATAGAAAAGATAATTATAGTTTTTAGAGTCGCTTATCAGGATTTTGAGGTTAGTTTTTCAAAATTCAAAATGTCGGATCCAATATGGCGAACGAATTTTTAAAAATTTGTCAGATTCACATGAAATACGTTACTCAGGTACTTTTAAGATCGATGATTACGAATTTGAGGTCAATTTTTTAAAATTGTAAATTAAATAAACATTTGTTTATTTAAATGTAAGTATTCAAATTTTTTTTAAAATGATATTAATAAATAAAAACTTGTCTATATATTTGAATATTATGTGTCAGTTTATCTCCATGTAATTTAATTATCATATATAAAAAAATTATAAATTAATTATAAATTATATATATAAAAAAAAATTAAATAATCTCAATGTCAACACCAAAAGACAGAAAAGACCATTTTATGTGACTGAAAAAAACTTATTGAATCTTGTCGAAAATAATTTAGAAACTCAAATACTGAAGTTTTAAAGTTTAATAATTCAGAAAATATTAGTGAAAATTGAATAAATGTCAATAACAGAAATTATTTTATATATGCTGGCAAAAAAAATCTCAAAAAAATATTCTTCACATGATTGAATAATTAAATATTACATTTGACGTGTACAAAAATATAAACTTTTGAAAATTAATCAATCACTGGACAGTTTCATATCAAAGGGTACTGGTGGATCACTGATTTTTTATACTTTATAATTTTTTGTAATACTTTTTTTATTTTGCAAAATATTTACAATTGAAAACATAAAATTTTTTAAAAAAATTTGAGAATTTTTATTTTTGCAAACTATTGATTCTACAAGAAAAGTTATTTAAATACCAAATTTAGAAAAAGTAAACATGTCAAATTTTTATAATATTAAAAAAATTTTTTGAGAAAAATTAATTTTCTAACAATTTGTTCAGTCAATATTTTTTTTTAAATTTTGAACCTTTCTAAAAAATATTAAAATTTGCAGAGAGGTTAAAAAAAATAGTTAAACCAATTAAAAATGTAATTGGTAGAATGACATTTTGTGATTGAATTAACTCAATTTAAAAATGTTAAAACAACTCAAGATGTAAGTAGTAGATTTTACTACTTAAAGTGGTTCAATAGGCTTTAAGATGAGTTAGATGTTCTAATATAAATAGTGATTTTTTTAGTAAACCAATAGTTACAATTGGCGGTGTAAATGTTGATAAATCAATTCTAGTTTCGCCAACATAACCGCCCCCACTTGAAATGCCGAGAAAAATTAATTATGTTGTGTCAATTATTATTAAACTATTCTTTGTCACTTATATGTATACTTGTATACGAAAAGGCAGAGATTGTTGGGATACAAGATATTACTGACGAATGGATTTTCTTATTGACAGAATGTATATAACGAGTAAGATCATTTTTTTGTGAATTGATAGTAAAAAAATAAGATTTTTAAGTAAAAATTTTAAAATATAAATATTAAAATTTTAGAAATAAATATTTTTGATAAAGTCAATGTTCGATGATTTTTTATAATCTTTCAAATTACAAAAAATTAGTTTTGTTAAATATTTTTTTGTATTTTCTATAAATATTTCGTTGCAAATAAAAATTTTAAATTTATGTTTTTTTTCAAAAAATTTAATGAATTGATAATTAATAAACGTTAAAAAATTATGTAATCAAAAAGAAAATTAAATTAACTGAAAATTATTAATTATATTTTAAAAAGTATTAAGCAATTAAAAAATATTTAAAAATTTTGAAAAAATAAAACCTAAAAAAAACTTTGTAATATTTTAAACTTTAAATTTAAATTAAAATCAAATTGAAAATTTTTTAAAAAAGCAAACTATTTTTATATTGTTTACAGATAAAAAAATATAACAATTTAATCATTAATAATAAAAACAGATTAATAATAATAAATTTATGAATAATAATATATAAAAAAATAATAATGAATAATGAAAAAATAATGAAAGAAATAATAATTATAAGTTAAAATATTCTAATTATCTGTAATAATCATTATATAAAAAAATGTATATATAATATAATAAATTTATAAATAATAATAAAAATTATATTATAATTGAAACTTTTTTTTCTATAAATACCAAATAGGAAACAATATTTTTTTTTTTTTTACTTTAAACTGTCTAGTATATAACTTAATTAATGACGATGAATAAAAATATCCGTCGCGTTAACCATAAAATATTACAAAATCATTAAGAATTGTCAAAATTTTAGAAAAACAAAAGGAACAAAATACGACTAACATTCAAGTGTGGACAGACAGAATGAATGAATGAATGAATGAATGAATGAATACGGAAATTATTATAGTTAATTTACTACTAATTAAAGAAAATAATTCCTTTTACTATACATTTCATATAACTGGTGAATAGTAGTTGGATTTACTACACTTCAAATTTTGAGTTGACTACAATTCCACTTGTTTTTACTACCTTTAAGAAAGTTAACTTTACTACCGACCTGTATTAGTTGTACTTTAACTACATATTTACGTAAAATCAACTATTACTTATTAACTTCTTAAAAATAGTTACATTAACTACATCAACATGATTAGATTAACTAAAAAAGTAGTTATTTTAACTACTTTCTAGTCAACTACCCAATGATAGTAGAATTTCTCGGCAACATTTTTTTCAGTGTAGAAATAAAGGATTGGATCAAGAACTTTGAAACTTTATTAAAAATAATGTTATTTCTTAATAATAATGTTTTAACGTCCGGGAAGTATGTATTTGAAATAAAAATTCTTGAAAAAAGTATTTTTTTTTTTAAATTTTAAGTTTTCAATTGCAAATATTTTGCAAAATAAAAAAAAATACTACAAACTTATAAAGTATTAAAAAAATCGGTGATCCCATTGATTGATTAATTTTCAAAACCATTCGTTTATATTTATCCACGTCAAATGTAATATTTAATTGTCCAGTCAATAGAGTAATGTTTTTTATATAGAGGTTATTTTTTCCAGCAACTACAATAATTTCTGTTATTGACATTTAGTCATTTTCATTAATATTTTCTGAATTATTTAATTTTAAAACTTCAGTATTTATTATGTTTCTAAATTATTCTCGACAAGATTAAAATATACATTTTTATTTTCTTTATAAATAATTTAACAATTTGTTTTTAACTTTTTTTTTTTTTATAAAAATTGTCTTTATTAAAATTGAGAATTACAGTAAATATATAAATTACTTTTTTTCAGTAATAGTACAAATCGTAATTTATGAAAAATGGTTGCCTATATTAAGGGGCGAATGACCCCGAGCCTGAAAAATGATAACCCGTCCGAAATGTGACTCGAGTCATAATTATGTATTTTTTTTCTACGGCGATTATTTAATAATTTAATTTAACTATTATTAACTATTAATATACCTATATTACATAATACTTTAGAATTTTTACTTAACCGAAAAATCATTTAAGAGAATTTCTAATTGATAGAATTTTCATTTGTCCGAAATTGCAAATGGACGAACAAACAATCGACAGAAAGATTTCGGCGCGATTTTTAAAATCAACCAATTACAATTTTATGGATATAATTTTTGATTGGTTGATTTTAAAAATCGCGCCAAAATCTTTCTGTCGATTGTTTGCTCAGCTATTTTCAATTTCGGACAAATTAAAATTCTATCGATTAGAAATTCTGTTAAATGATTTTTCAGTTAATTAAAAATTCTGTAATATCGAAAATCGATTAGATGAAAATTCTGTAAAATACTAATTTGAACAAATAAAAATTCGGCTCAGATGTAAAGGAGTTCATTACAGTGTATTGTAAATTTTAATTTATAAAAAATGATTTTATTAATTTATTAAATAAATTATTTATTGTATTAAAATAATTTTATTTTTTATAAATAAAAATTTATAATATACACTATAACTAACTTCTTTACAAATTTAATTCAAAAAGTCTAAAATTAAATCTTATTACTGTTATAAATTATTTATAACTAAAATATAGTAAAATATAATATAAAATATAAAATGATTGATTTGTTATTGCTTTTCGATAGCTTTACAACAAGTGAGACACTTATTTTTCATGGTCTTTCTATTGAATATGCAGCAACAAAAATATTTAGACTGAATTTGTACATGAAATGAAAAAATTTCAATATTAAAAAAAAAAGTTCAATGGATTATTCCATTGAATAGACATTACATAGCAGAATTTTCATTTTACAGAATATGAGAGTAGAAAAACTTTTATTGAACAGAACTAAGACATTTTTTAAATTATAAATAAGCGAGTAGGGTTATAAGAATAGATTTCAAATAATCAATCTGATCTATCACATAAGAAAAATTTTGATGTAAAGACAGAATTGTATTTCCATGTCACGGCAGATGGTAAAAGAAGCATTTAATGGCATTGGAATTATTTTTATGAGAGAAGACACTATACATTCCAAATCAAAAAATGCTGAATGCAGAGAGTATTTTCAATTGAACCAAACAGTACACTAAGACTACTCAGTTTTTTTATTACAGCAGTCAGCAGCATGATAGAGTTAAACGATCATTTATTGTGAATTGTGACATTTGAGAAACAGTTACAAAAATATTTAGATATTCCAATGGTTCTGAACCAATTATATATGTATATATTTGAATAATTTAATCTTAAAATAGTTTTAATTGAATACAAACAATTTTAAAAACCGCTACTAAGTTGAAGTATGAACTTTTTGTTAATTAATTTTATGAAAACTTTGTTTTCTATTAGTGAAAATTTTTTGGAATCAATTTATGGTAACTTATTTACTATTCGAATAATTTTTGAAAAGCTGTTGAGTTGCATTTTTTGGACGTATGCAGAGATAGATTTTTAACATCAATAACTTCAT